TCCTGAAAAGTCCACGGCACCCTACGGCCCTTAGCGCTCACACGGGACGCTAACGGATTGGCAGACTTAATTAATTAATGTCTCATTAACTAATTGTCGGATCCAAAAATGGTAGAGGAACTTTCAATTCCAAATTTCACCCCCTATTTACCTTTAACGGGTGTTCTACCAGTTGTGGAACACCCTGTATTATTGAATTTAATTATGCAATATTTGTGTAATTATAATTATATAATATTATTGCTAAAAATTACGACTTTCGTTAACTTGTGTCTAAAAAAATCTGTTTGTTTAGACATATTGTAATGCATTTACTTTTATAAAATAATTTTACTTGAAAATAAAATGTTATTATTAATTTAATTAATATATATTGTAGTTCTCTAATATGTCGAGTTCTTTGACATGTATGTAAAAATTAACGAATATCAAGCATTGGACTGGTAAAGGTATAGATTTGCTACTATATGTTGCTTTTAGATCATGTTGTTTAATGCTTAAAGCTTCAACGATCGTCCGTAAACTGGTGATGCCGTAACGATATCTTGATAGATAATATTTACAATATACTCTTATATCGTTCAAAAGATGTTATGACATATTTGTTGATAAACCCTTATAGAAATATCATACTAAGAATCATTGATAATTACTTATTTTCAGTATTAAAAATACTGGATAATAAGTAATTATCAATGATTCTTAGTATGATATTTCTATAAGGGAATGTTTGACACAATCACAATATGTCATCGAAATACTGGGATTCGCCACTTAGCCCTTGGAGGCGTTCTTCACGTTGATTACAGCGTGAGAATGCCAACTGGCAGTCCATACTTATATAGTCAAAGGTTGTATCTGTTGCGAATAAAAGAACACATCCAAGGTGACGTCTAAAGACACAGCAGAAATGTCCCTAATATATTACAAGGATATTATAAAGATATCTCAATATCTGTAGGATATCCCTATGATATATTCAGAACATTTCTGTTATATGGGAACGGACTCATCTTGCTACCTGGGTTTGCAGCTATGTCATTCATGTGCGATGGACTTTACTCTTCAATGGGCGCCGCCACGTGGTAGGAGAGCAACAACGGACTAGAATCCCGCACGTTGTGTGTGTTCTTGAGCCTGATTTCTTCCAACATTTTTTTCAAAATTTTTACAAAATATTTATCAATAAACGATTAGGTAAATTAACATAAGGCGTCCAATAATTAAAAAAACTTTTCAAATATGAAATCATTATTTTTTTATCTTAGGTAAATATTTCTCAAATACAAAAAAATATTCTTTTAAACGTTAAAATAAATATTTATTAAACATTAAAAACATTTTTCTAAACATAAAAAACATTTTTTTGGTAAAAAGAGAGAACTTAATTCATTGTTTTTAATGTTTTTGAAAATATTTCAAAAATATTTTTAAAAAATTCTTAAAAATATTTTTAAAAATATTGTTATACTGGTTGGGTATATGCAAGGAGTTTGTTCCTATACAGCAGAAATATCCCGAATATATTATAGGGATATTCTACAGATATTGAGATATCTTTATAATATTCTTGTAATGTATTCGGGACATTTCTACTGTGTGGATTTATCAAGTATATACATATATTTTATTTATTTGAAATATAATCGAAACAATCTGGAGCATATTTTATATATTGTTTACATTTTTTCATATACAATAACTTGATCATATTAAGACAACCACTTATGCACACTTCATGCACAGATGTGCATATAAATTCGAAGAGAAACTTTCAAATGTCGACGAAAACTAAGTATTCGTGGAACAATAATCAAAAGAATAATGTTCGACACTTAAGGAATATAACATTTTGCCGACCTGATTTCATTCAGTTCTCTCAACTATTAATAGATGAGTGCAAGACGAATTAAAATATAAGCCACATGAAAGAATGGCGATTTTTCTTAAACATAAACTGGAATTTATTATTTTTTTAGAACGGTTATTTCGTAGAACGTTTATCGAGTTAGAACTAGTTTGACACTGTTTGACATTTATTTTTCAATGAACAATTGATTGACAAGACGCTTCATTTTGGGTCACCTTAAGTAGGAATTATTAAGAATAATTTGCGAAATATTAATGTATGGAGATATTGAAAAGATTAAATGAGAATAATCCAATGTTGTTACTTCCCGTGTGTTCCAGTAAAAGAGAGAGAGAGAGAGGGGGGGGGGATAGAGAAAGAGAAAAAGAGAGATTCAATAATATTGAGATAATAAATCGGTTTTTTTTCATTATGGATTAGATATTTATTATCTAGAAATCAGAAATTGATAACAACATATGCGGACGCGTTTTTGTAATCGAATTTATGAGAAATAATCAATTTGCCAGGAGAAAGAATAGGTGAGAAAAAAGAAGAGAAAGAAAAGGAGAAAGAAGGATAAAAAAAGGTCAAATAGTAATGTGAGGAAAACAAGGGATCTATCGAGGAATGGAATCGATGATTGCAGAGAAAACGTCGGAATCGAGTCGGGTAGTGTAATAAATAATAACAGTTAAACGGACGAAAGTGATTTGTTTGAAGTATCGATCGGTCAGTCATTTTTTGTGTGAATCGCGTTGATATTATCCCGCGATCGCCAAATCAATCGATGTAGTCCTGATTCATATCCTTCATCCCAAATAAGTTGTTGTTCGACCTTTGTTCAGATATCAACCTTCTCACTGCCTCGTAGTCGTTATATAGATTCTGTTCATTAGAGTCTTGTGGTTGGAGATTGGCATTCTGAAATAAACCGAAAAATAATTGAATTACTTAACTGCTTTAATTAAAATTAATTGATTTTCAACTAATAAGATGGGAAAGAGGATAAGTTGACAATTGTTTTATTTTTAAATTAATTCTTAATATTAATTTATAATATATTTCAAATTAATTATTATTGTTCATTAGATACATAACACAAAAGACTCAAACATTATTTAAAATATACCTAGAATGCCATAAAGGCCATGTCACACTACGGATTGGACATGGAGAATTGTGGATTGAAGATTAGATTTCGACGAATCAATGCACTTTGGTCTTGACTTGCTTGGCTCCAATTAGTCAAATTCCAATCTTCAATCCGCAATTCTCTATTTCCAATTCGTAGTGTAACACGGGCTTTAGGAAATCCTAAGTATCTCAAGCATATCCAGAATGATTTCAAGATGTTTTATCTTCTTCAAGTATTATTTATAACTATCGTTTATATTAAAATTCTAGATTTCTATTTTCTAAATTGCTTAGTTTTATTGCGATGTTATCCTTATAATATGTAATTTCAATAAATAATATAAAGTTAAGTTCTAAACTAAGGACATATAAAAAAATTAAAGAAATAAAAATCGTTGCTTTTGCGGTACATCACCCACCTAGGAGGGTAATATAAACGCTTGAATCTGGAAGATATGACGCATAAAATTAGCTTATAAGAAATTATATGTTTATATCTTGCAACATAAGTATTTCATTTTTTTGTTAAAAAACTGATTATAATATTTATTATTTTATAAAAAATTTATTGTTTTTAGTATCTAGTATGCGCGTACACTCCCGCATGCGTTAATACCACAGACTTCTATGTATAAACTAGACTAGATTTGAGGCTTTCACAGCCATTGATACAATGTCTAGATATAGTTTCCGGAATGGAGCCGTGTCTTGAATCAGCGATATGCCTATCGCTGATTCAAGACACGGCTCCATTCCGGAAGCTATA